AACTCTGAGACCTATACAATCCTTTAAAAAGAGTTTAATTAAAACACATAATGGTTTCATTAAATAATACGCTATTAAACACATGTGAACTCATATGACCCCCTGGACCCACATGCACGTGCAAAAAGTCCGTTCTCGCGCACGTGCACACGCACATGGACGCGGCGGGGGATAGGGGAGGGGGGAAAATGCCCACGGGGGTGGGGAGTGTGGGGGGAGAGGGGTGGGGGGCAAAAAAGCTATAGGTATATTACTACTGCACAGGAAGGCAAGCTCATAACTTAGGCGCCGTGTGAGAGAAAGAATGTGAATGTTTAGGCTTTTACGACTAGGTGGGGGCCACTAGAGGCTATAAGAGCCACCAGTTTGAGATTTGCTGTGACGCTCTGCATGCATGTCTCCCCATCCGGATGGTTCATGCTCAAAAGTGTTGAATTGTATGTAATAAAGTAATTGTTGATTGAACATTTATACACCGAGCATTGTCCTTCCTTCAGCCCAAGGATCAACACACTGGATACTGTAGCTTCTGTGAAAAATAAGTCCTCAAGTCAGAAGTACTTGACTCCTTGAGTCTTCCAGGAAAGACGACGCTTCGCTCTGGGAGGGTTCTGGAGGATCCAAGAGACAAAAGACCGTCCATCTTTGAAAAGAATCGGAGGCAGACTGTTGCATTGCAAACCGAAGAAGGGCACTGTGACACAGAGGAGGACGTGCCCCTTACAATGCCTTTGCTGACAGGTGTACGGGGCGAACCAGTCTACCACCCTTCTAATATCAGAGATCTTGAGGCTCTGGTGAAGCAGCTGCCCCCTATCACAGAAGGAGGAGCGGCTTGGTTGAGAAGACTAGGCAGTCTTACGGAAGGAGAAGAACTTGCCCTGGGAGATTTCCGAGCTATCGGTGGGAGGACCTTCAGAGGAGGAGGCCTCGCAGATGTGGAAGAGATAGCAAGAACGGTATGCCAACCAAACGATCTCCCCTACGCAAGGGTGCGAAATGCTCTCCGACCCATAACATTGGCACTACACCTAGGATTGTTTGGAGCCCAGAACATTCCCCTGGAGAGTTTATGGAGCATGCAAAAGAACAGTGGATTCTCCAAACTGGAGAACATCCTGGGCAGAATGGTGAACCTCGGGCGTGGTTCCGATCTGCGGTGTTAGCAGGTCTGCCAGAACGAGTAAGAACAGATCTACAGAAGAATCCCGACTTTGCGGTCGCGGATTCAGCAAAATGGGAGAGGCATATCATACATCGACTTGAGCTGGAGAAAGACGAGGTGAACAAGAAAAAACAGGAGCTGGAGGAGGCGCAAGGGCAGTTAGTAAAATTGAAATTGGCTGAGGTGAGAGAAAAACTAAACGAAAAGAAAAAGGAAAACAAAGATGGACCAAAGAAGATG